CGATGAGGAAGTCGAACTGATCGTACTTCGTGATGGCCATCGCTATGTCATTCCTCTGCAGTGTCCGCCGCTTATTGTCTTCCGTGTGAATCCAAGCCCTCAATGAGATCTCTGTTATGAATATTTCCGCCGCCTTTGCGAACAGAACCGGCGCTTCCGCTGATATCATCTACCGATCCATTCATTCAGTAAAATACCGTCAATTCTGTGCCGTTAAGAGCCAGAGAGTGAGACATACCTTCACGTCGTCGTCTAATTTCATGATCTTCTTAATGCGAGCCAATGGTAACTCTTGGTTCTTGAAGTCATTCTTCGGGAGTCAAACAAATGTCAGACAAAAAGTGATTAGAAAAATGAGTTCACAATAAAAGCGATCAAAACAATGGCAAGTATGGGAAAGGGGTGGACAGGAAGGGGGAGACAATGGGCGCGAGTGGTAGGCAGTGAGCGCAAGGATCTAATGGCTGTACTACTTGTCCCAAGTTCTTGATGTTGTCGATCTCCCGGTGCCAGAAGGTGTCCAGCATTTGCTGGGCCTCCGAGTTGGCGGCATTGGTCTCATTGGAGTGAGAGTTGAAGTTATCGGTCATGTCGTGGGCGGCGGTATGGGTGCGGACACTCGTGCCGATGCTTAGCTCGCAGTGTTTCGGTGATGTCTTCGGCGCTGTCAATGCTTTTCAGATGCGATTAGACATCAAAATAGATGTGTTTTGTTGTCAAAGCTCTCAACGAATCGAGTGTTGAGTCGACGATAGATAGGCGCCCTATAGGATGGAATGCACGCAATGACTGCACAATAGGGCGCTACACAACCTATCACTGAAATGGCATGAAATAGACACGCGCGACGCCCCAACACCCACTCCCGAACCACCCGACCCACGCATACACTAATCACTGCCAAATCAATGCCCAAACCACTCAATCAGTGAACACGAGTTTTCAAAACTATTTGTACAATACGTTAGTTAGGGTTGAAATTATAATCTTTTATTAGTTGAGTTGTTCAAAGTTTAATTCATTAACTGGACTCAATATGAACAAGGTGCTCCCAAACCATTGAACGCCTCTAATAAAACCGATTTTGAGCTAAAGGTGAAGTCAACAAAAACGCTACTATTTTATGAAAACCCCGGCAACCGTTACAATTGTGTTCGCATTGTTGCCCACAAAGGGGTCAACTCTGAGGTGGTTATGGTTGACGTCATTGTGTATCACATATTGGGACGCATTAGACGTTATTATTGGTAAATATGTGTCAAAACAAACGCCTCACAAGTGTTGATAAAATACATGATTTGAATTGAATTGACAGTCATTTGCTTATCAATCCATTGGACGACTATTTCATTGATTGCATGGTTTTGTGTCTCAATTGTCTTCATCGGTGATAATGAGCGGTCCGAAGACGACGGGTCTGTCCCCCAAAGAGGGTCCGCCGGGAACTAAGATCACAATCCGCGGCGAAAACTTAGGCACATCTCAAGAGGACATGGTTTCGGTGACCATTTGCGGCGTCGAGTGTCTGATGTACAGCGACTGGTTGTCCTCACAGAAGATCATCAGCCGATCCGCTCGTTGTAAGGGTTTGGGAGACGTAATCGTGACCACAAAGAGCGG